CCAAATGATCTAATATAAACAAATGTGAGATTGGAAAGATTCATTTTGTGCTTTTAATATAGTAAACTTTGATGAGAATGTCTGTTGGTAAAGGCTGCAGAGTTTCTATTTTGTATCAGTTCCAGCTGGTGGTGTGCCTTGTGATTTTCAATGAGAAAGGTGTGCCAAGCCTCAGAAAGGTTGGAACACTCGGTCTAACAATTCAATTCTAACCATTCTCACTGGTGAGGATTATTCCATTAGGTGGGAGTGTTTAAATATGTTCATTATGAAAAATACTTGACATTTAATCACCATTGCACTTGCAGACATCAACTTTAAAATGGCATGACTGTAATTCAAAGTGATTCCTTATTTTCATTATTTTTCCTTTGTTTTGTGCTTGATTTTGATCATTTGCGTTCCGTTTTATTGTATTATTTTTCCAATGAAGAATCTGGCATTACCAATTAGATAGAAAATAGCTTCATTTCAATTGCTCAATATATTAAACATAAGACTTTGCTAACTTTCTATGATATAACAGTTGGATATTGGCCGCTTATAGTGTTACTGTGAAAAAACTAGTCACATTTCAACAACATAATCTCTTTAATACATGTTGTCAGCCGCTGGTTCAAAACTACAGGTTATCTGGACATCAGCACAAACAGACAAGTTACAGACTACAGTCTAGTCTGGGTCTCTGCTGGATGGAAAGCAGCAGAGTGACAAAGAAATGGACCAAGAGCTCTGGTCTTATACCATGATAATTTGAAACACATGCAACAATATGTCCCACCATCCTTAGGTGAAGACAATACCTCCTATGTTCAGAACAAACAGTAGCCCGTGTGTAAGTAAGCCTGAGGCTACTCTAAACAGATGTTTTCTGCGCTCTTCTTAATTTAACTTCCTGTGTTTCATGGCTGGGGGATGGGCGAATGCTGCTGATGCGTCCATCACATCCCATCACACACGTAGGTTAACCCAAAGCTGTCTAAACTTTGAATATATTCTAATTCACTTTAATGAAAATCCAACAACTCTACTAACAGTTACCGTTGGCTCCATGCATGTTTGCCTCCTCTTTGTGTTCACTGCAGTGCGACCATCAATGCATGAAATTGGCACCAGGAGCTTTCACTGTGATTCTCATGTTCAGCTTATTGCTCTTCACCTTTTGTGTTGCCTGCGTCCTACAGCCTGACTGCAAAGGTGCTTTTTTTTATAATTACATACACGCTGATTTGGCTTGCTTACCAATATGGGGCCAGATTACAGTGTTTTTCGGACAATGATTAGTTCTGGGGTGCCTGCCTTTGGTCATAAATGATTAATTTGGTTTATCTCAGCAGGATGAGTTTTGTAAAGGGAAGTCAGACCACAACATGAGTCTAATTAGAAAACATCTTATTTTACTTTTTGAAATGTGCATGCATATGAAAACATGGTATAGAACCAAACTTTAGGAGCGAGGAACTAGTTGGATTGATTTGTATTTCTGATTTTGTTGAGGACCCCAGCTTTAAATGGCAACCTGTAGAATGATAGTGGGGTGGCTGCTGTTGTGTCCTTAGGCAAAACACTTCATCCACATTGCTTGGAATGAGTCTGGTGTGTGTGTGAATGGTTGGTGGTGGTCTGAGGGACGATGGCACATACTGGTTGCCTTGCTTCTGTCAGTGTGCCCCAGGGCAGCTGTGGCTACAGTAGTAGTTTTACACCACCGTGTCTGGAGTGAAAGAATAATGACATGTGAAGCGTATTTGAGTGTCATTGTGCATTGTTATAATTTGCCATCTGTAGGTTTGTCATTTTTCCTTTTTGATGGATATAATATTATTTTCATTTTGTAAGGTTTGGGAGCAGAGCCACTCCTCACCCTCCTTCTTTTCCACTCCAACCAACCACACCTCTTCTCCTCGCCTCCTTCTTTTTAGTCAGTTACTCAGAATACATTTATTCAGCCTTTATTCCAGCTTTGAGCTCGATCCACTCTCCATGTCTCTCATCTGCCTTGAACCCATGAGCATTATCACGGAGGGGGACTCCCATCCAGTCATCATGAAGCTTTCTCAAGAATCACATTGTAATGGGGGTGGCGTGGTCCCTGCGAGAGAAATGTTTGATTTGAAAATGATTATTGTCAAAGCAGTGCTTGTTTGTTGAGTGGTGTGTTTATGCACAGGCCTGATCATTTCTACTGAAAATAAGCCTTGAACAGACTACTAATTCCTTTTCAAGCCAAATAAACAAGCAGAAAGTGCTGTGTTGAAGGTTGGCGCATATATATTGTTAAAAGGCCAATAACGGAACATCTGCCAGCGTTATTACTGAATATTTACTGATATATATGAGATTTCTGTTTAGTCAGAACTGTGAATCACCATGTACAGAGCAGTAGCAAAGAAGTAGGCTCAAAAGAGTTTAGGTTTGTGAAGATTTGAGAACATTTTAGATACATTATTTTGAACATATGGCACAGATCATTAAATCAACAGCAATATTCCCATGTTACTGGAAAGTTCGGGGTGTTACTGGAAATTCATGGCAGATGGCAATTGTTGTTAATTTCTTATATTCCGTGACAAGGATGTTAACACATGTCACATTGTTCCGACTTATAATAATAATAATAATGATAATCATAGTTTAAAATTTTATTTCTTAGGGGCCTTTTGTGACACTCATGGTTGCCTTACATGCAAGTTAGAGAGTGCTTTTTAAAATACAGTTAAATTGTTATATACAGTACACTCGACATACCAATGGTGTCTATATAGCACCAGTACCAGAGAGTGGAAAAATCACCCACAATAACAGTAATTCCTAAAAGTCTGGGGTCTCAAAGGACAGTCCGACGTACAGGCAGTTAATTATGCATGCAGGATGCACCACTGACCTTATCGGATCACTTGAAATTAATCCCTTCTTTAGCGTGTTCTTGTGTTTGAAGCATGAAATCCCATTCAAACACAGATGCAGATAAGATGTTTTGATACGACCTTGATTTCTTTCCACATCCTCAAAAACTGTTAATGTTTTAGGTTTGAGTCCAACTGGGACCAGTGTGTATTATTCTTAGTCAACGGGAAAGACGCAGCCTTGCCCACAGCTGTATGCATATGTATGTTTGGGAAATGATATCGCTGCTCTGTTGAAAGGCACTTTGGCTGGAGGAAGATTGGGGGATTAACCACTTAACTGTTTAAAAAAATAAAAATGAATGGTATCAGTTCAGTGCAATATCCTGTCACACTCAATGGAACATGGCAAAACACAGAGAAGAACACAGGGTCACTTTTCCACTCATTAACATGCTCTGGAGATTCAATTGCGAGTCATGATCTATTCTGGGAGTGGGCTTTGTCAGCAGTCCTGAAAACAGGCCGAGATAACGCACTGATGTTCTGGCTTCAGTGGCAGAATGTCATGACTGTGAGGTATTATTGTGACTGTGAGATAGACGTGCAACTGGATTCATTTGATTTTGAGAGGAAATTCAAACAACAAAAATATTTCCCTGGGATTTGTCATGTAATGTTTTTGGGGAAATGATTTTATGAAAATGAGAGAAATAAAGAAAAACTCACCTCTTGACTTTGAATTTAAAAAAAGCTTGATTGCAGCATTTTAATCAAGCCCTGAAGAAGGCCTAGTGCTGAAATGCGTTGGCGTCGTCCATGTTTAAATAATAATTTAGTATAAAACGTTTCATTTTGCAAGGTAATATCTGCCTCGATTTTTGACTGCACAATTCACTTCTCTACTGTGTTGTTTGAGCTGCAAGTCTGTCCTATCTGTTTCTATGATACATGGCTAATCCCCTAAAAGCACTGTCTCCTTTTACCCTTTTACTTGTCTCTACTCTTTGAAGACGATATAATTTGGATCCCCTCTGATAGTAGAAACTGTTATGCTTGGACTTGTATCTTTATCGCTCGATGTTGTCACTGTTAAAACTAAAGAAAACCTTGAGTCGTCCACTCACAGAAAATCAAAGCTCAGGGATATGGGTATAAGTAGTGCACTATTATGCAGTCTTATGAAAAGATTAAAAAGTCTAAAAACAAAAAAATTATGCCAACAGGGCTAACTTTCATGTGGATTTTTGTAGGACCACAGGCAGAATGTGTCGCCTACTGAAGCCCATTTAAATGTGTGGGATGCATTATCATATCCTCCTTTTAAATTATGATTCAAAGATCAAACAGGTCAACAGCCACAGAAAATACCCTTTGGTTCTTGCCTGATGTGAAAATACAAAAACATCATCCATTAATTCACACCAGATACCAAAATGAAAAAAAGAGAGTATCTATAAAACACATCAATTGTTTTCTACTTTCTATTGCCCCTCTCTAAACCTGGAGGCCATGCATTTGCTGCATTGTTCATTGTTTATCCCAGCCCTGATTTGAACCTGTATTTTTCACATAATGGAAAATGCCATAGTTCAATTTGAGACCTTGAAGGTACATTCCTCAACCGTCCTGCTGCGGTCTGCTTATTGTTTGGGTTCATCTACATGTTGTTTTGTCATCATTAAACTTTCCTTTTTCATCAGAAACAGGCTCTGGATTTCACGTGGCTAAGTTACAAGTTATATCTGTGGAGAGCACTTTTACTTTATGCTTTTTATGCAGTAGAATTGAATAAATAAATTTAAGAATTGAAGAAGGACTCATTGTGTTCAGAAAAGACCCTAAAAAAACTACTTAATAATACTGTGTTAAACCAGGCTGAGCAAGAGTTCAACCAAAGCATAAATATGTGTCTATTGCAAAAAGCAGGTATCGGACTCCTTCACAAAAAGTTGAGGAATGTAGTTGAGAACTTGAATATCAAAAAAAAAAAAAAGGATGACAATTTGAATGGAACAAAATACTCCTAATGCAACATTAAAACAATCCCCCTTGCATCAAGGTGACAAGAGTCTGCAGACAATAAAAAACATTCCATCTTCAGCGTATCTCACTATTATTTTCACATGAATACATTTTGACATCACAAATCACCTGCCACACGCCGCCGTCTTTCCCAGCCTCTCGTTGGGAGTGTGGTTCTGTCCATGCGACGTTCCCTCCCTCGTTTGTCCCTGTCCTGCTGCGCACACAGAGGTGTTTGTTTGGTGCTGTCCCTGGAGACGTGGGGCTCTGTGCGACACATGATTGGACCTGGCACGGCCTCTCTGCCAGAAGCACACCGCCTCCAGCATCCTACGCCCGCGGAGCCACACCGGCCAAAAAGGTTTAACATTTTCACATGAAAGTCCCTGCGGCAGTCATTTGAATAATCGCCCGTCTGCCATTTGCTGCATCTTTATCATTTAAATAAACGTGGTGCCAAGTGTAGCCTCAGGTCTATGCAGGTGACTTCATGTTTCCAAAAAGGTGTTGACGTGATTTTTAGGCCGTTTTTAGAATGACGGACCACTCTGACGATAATAGATTTTTGCAACAAGTGGAGACTGAGCACGTTTTCAAAAGTAGAAGAGCATGTTGAAAAATGTAATCTATTTGTAACTTTGCTTTAGCACTAAACCGTTGGGACATGAATCGTAAATAAAGCTGAGATACCATACAAGCAGACTTTTGGCAAATGTAATCATCCAACATCTTGTTTAATTTCAGCATTTGTTTTTCCCACATGCTCAACTTTAGTCGCACAAGTCATTTCTGCAGCGCAATTAAACCCACCATTTCTCCTGCTTTTGGCGCGCATAACAAAACCAAAACAAAGACACACATGCGGCGAGGAGTGCAATTCATCCTGTAAACCCTAACTTCAATCGTACTTTAGATATCAAAGTTATTTTAAATAGATTTTCTCCAGTAAGTAGATATTACTCATTTATTGTTAGTTTATTTAAAGCTTGCCTATGTCACTCAGGGTTTTCTTTGAATTGAACTGTTTCTGTTCAAGTAAGCCTCACTTTTGACATTTTGACGTGTAGAGTCTTTAATGAAGCAGGTGTGACAAAGGCAGGGTGGCCTGGTGGCTGAGTGGGTAGCACCATTGCCTCTCAACTACAGGGTTCTGAGTACGAATCCCGGTCGGAACATAAGTAGAAATGTTATCTTTATTGCAATCACCTGAGTTTATTTGGTAATATCAAGTAAAGGATGTACTCGAGGAATTCAAGTGAAATTAATACGCAATTTATTTCCATGGTTTTTTCAAGTAAACTTTACTTGTCAGGGTTTACAGTGCAATGAACAATGACAACATATAAATACAACATATAAATACAAAATGGCCTTTTTTACAACAGTCATGTTTCCTCTGCTTGCATGTGAGTCCTTATTAAAGTCTAAATTAAAAAAAATAAAAATAAAAATACTATTTATTTATTTATGTATTTTCCATGTGCTCTTAGATGCATCTGTTGGGTGTTTCTCAATAGGATCCAGTTTATGCGGTTACATGCCAGCAAATATGCTGTAGAGAAGGTTTAATCTATTCTGGGAGATACAGGTGTGATGAGGGGATGGAAGTTGAGACTGCAGTACACAGTTTCTGACATGTTTTTCATGTTCCAGTATCCACAAGTGTTTCATCCAAAACCTGATGCAGGAGTGTGTATCACAGGTGCACAAATAAGTGACAATGTAATCTACAAATCTTATTCTGTCATAGGGGCTGACCACAAAGCTACTCAAAAAACCTATAGTGGATATGGCCTACAATATGGATTTTGGGAAAAAAGTGCAAGGAAATAATTTCAAGCTTTCACAATTTAAAATTAAAGGATCAACATGGCTGGCCAAAAGTGGTACTGCACTCTAAATAGTTAAATCTTATTATCAACAACAAATCTATAACCAACAGAAATAGAAAGAAATCCTGTTTTTATTCCTTGTTTTGAGAATTGAGAATCATAACGAGACCTTTTTTGGTTCTGCAGCCACATGGCAACCCGGATCATGGACCCTCTGATTGGTAAAACAGTAGAGGGCGGGACATCAAAATGAAAACAATAACAAGATTAAGGGGCTGTATAGCTAATTTTGAAATCCAAATATCTCGGTTGAACTACTGTTATCATTTAAAGAAGTATTCGAAAAGAGCCTGATTTATTAATGCCTTTTTTTTGACACAATAGGGCCATTTAATGATCACTTGATATGAAAATATAAAATTTTGCTATTTTAAGGACTCAGAACGTGCAAGACTGCAAATCAAAGATTTTTTTTTTTTGTATGAGCAAATCCAAAAAATAAACAGGGGGCAACGACTGGAACAGGGGAATAAACAAAACGAACTGACAACTGGAGGGAAAGAGCACTGGTTATTTGACTGAGCCACACAGGTGAAACACACTCACCAGGGCAGACAGTCAACAGAACCAAACAGGAAGTAAAACTCCACAATGAAAATGAGATCACAAAACTCAAACTACCCAAAATATATAAAGTATCCATCCAGACACAATCAAGCCCAGCACCAAGTAGATACGTATGCCTTTCAAAGTATTGAATGTAAAGCTCAATCAAACATTAATTATCAAATGTCAATACATAGAATTTTCTTGCAAATCATTCATTTACAATTACTTACAATATTACACATTCTTGAATTATTGAATTGAGTTTTGCATCAGTATTTAGTGGCGCTCCGCCTGTACACATTTGCAGAAGTCTGTCTGTCTTGCTTCACGCTCTTAAATGTTTCAGTAACTTCACCTCACCTCCTCCTGTATTCTCTTTGATATTTTTGCAGAGCTCTTGTACAATTCATCACCATTCACATGTCTTAATCTGCACATTTCAATTCTTCGCCCCAGGTTTCCGTTCTTATACAAGCCCTTTTTTATTTTCCTGCGTATGAATTGTGCCAAACAATTAAACTTCCCTTGTGCTTCACGGTGTCGTTCCCCCAAATCTCCCTAATGAGCTGATTTTTGTTTAAGTTTACTGACATTTGCTGCATACTACTCTGCTACTACAAACACAGCTGCTCTTAATATTGCCTTTTCTCTTGCGTGAGTGTCAGATATTTCGCATTTTTGCACTTAACACCCATAAATAGGAGTACACAGATTACATACATCAGCTGTTTGGTCTTGCATACTGCGATACACTGTCGACCGTAATCAGTGCCCGCTACAAACTGCCTAACCAGGTGACGCACTATGTATTCCAACTGGATTAATGACTTCCACGTAAGAATTGTTTCCTGAGGGGAGCCCGAACATGGGCAGCAGGTTCGCCTCCAATTAATTCTGAGTATTGCGCAACGCTGGCTGTATCGACCGCTCGGCATGCAACCCCCCGATGCACGTGTTATTGACCCTCCGAGTATCAGTGCCACTGTGTTCACCTGCCACGTCCCGGTGAAACTAAAGAGGGCGCCGTATATAATTATTTAAACTGGAGAGAGGGGACGGTGCTCTGTGTTTATCTGGAGCAGAGACAGCCACTCGAGATGGTATCGATCAGCTGGAAAGTTCCACTGTTTTTGCATTAGCGTTTCTCCCTACAAGTTTTTTGTCCGTTTTGGAAGCTGGTCGAAGACAATCAGACAAGGGAGGCCCAAATTGCCACACAGAGATCCAAGCGTGTGTAAAACTCTGGCAGTAAAAAAAAACTCCTTTCGCTCAGTAATTGTTGTGTCACATTCACCATTTTGGGCTAAAACAAATCTGTGTTTATATTTGGATATTGTCTTTGTAAATTCAGATATGAGCCGTATAAAGGATTGACCAACCACCTGAACAAACAACAGAACAAATGCCCATATAAGGAAATTGGCACCAGCTCGCTCATGTTCAAATCAGCTTCTTCAACGTTTGGCTATGGTGATACTATGGTGATGTCAGCACGTGGATAGTCCTCCTAATATCCTAATATACATTATACGCGCTATGTTTGTGATTTTTATTCACATTTGACACAGAAAAAGTTGAAGAGAAGCTACTGGAGGACATTTTATTAAATATTATATCCGGAAACCACTATTGTATTATTACATAGGTTAGAACCTAACTTTAAAATAATAAATGCAATTATTTCATTTCAATAATGCATTACATAGAATATAAAGTACGAGCCAATAGTACGAGAGAAAAGCCCGCAGTGTAAAAGTATAGCTGTTCATTTGAATCCTTGTGACGATCAAATTATCAGGAAATGTCAAGCTTCCCCTCAGGCCCATAATGATGATGACTCTTTCCACAAGGGTCTCTCACACCAATATAGAAGCAGGCTGCCGCAAGATACGTCTTCTCAGTGTATGTTAACGCATTAAGTGGATACATTATGTACACATTGCAGAAAAACGTTAATATAAATTCTTGCCAACAACATAAACATACAGGTGAAACTCTGAAAATTAGAATATCGTTACTAATCAGTCGTCCGTCATTTATCGATGGGGTTATGTTCGAAAACTAACCCGCAACAAGCAAAATCCGCAGACTTATTACTCTTTTAGAATTCACAAATGCTGAATTCTGGTATAACGAACCTCCTGCGATTGCGGCGATATCAAACCTGTTCGTTATACTGTAGATGCTGTGTGCTGCTGCAGCTGTCAAAAGCGGTGCATAAACTGTAACAGCTGCAGGTGACACCCAGTGGGGGCGGGTCCCTGCTCAAAAGTGGCCAAAATGACGTGCACTGACTTGCTTGCAATACCACCCCGGGCCGATGCGGGTGGACCCGGAAAAAAAGAATTAGCCAATGTTAACATATAGCATCTTCTTACCTCTCGAAAACACCTTTACAGGTTGGTCCAAAAGTTGGCTCTTGGCCCAAAGCTCCGTTCCACATGTGTGTTAATGTTTTGAATCACTCCATGAAAGCCCAATTTTCAGAACGGCGGAGATAGGCGGAGATAGGCGAGACTACGTCCGTTAATACAGTGTTTTTCAACCTTTCTTGAGCCAACAAGGCACACTTTTTTCATTGAAAAAATCTTGAGGCACACCACCAGGAGAAAATGTAAAAATATATACTCTGTAGCCTATATCTACAATATAAAGTCATTCTTATCAAAGTGCTTAAATCCAGGCCTTGACATTAAGCTTGGTTTAATATTGCTCAATACAATGAGTCAACAAGAGTTTGGGACTAAAGTGGCAATAACTGTGGGGGAAAAAAACATAAAAAAATCCACTCTCAGCCCAAAAAGTCAAACAATGACTCAGAGGGCTCTTATGTGTGAAAGATAATGATTAAAAAATGCCCTGCTGTGTGTTCTTTTTGATTTGTTCAC